AAGACCAGCCTTGCAAAACGTTAGCAAGATCCCCATTTCAATCAAAATCTTGGCTGGTGGGGCACGTCTGTCACCCCAGCAACACACGATGGTGCAACTAGCCTGGGCAAAACCTCGAGTCTCTACCTGAAAAAAACTAAAAGAACAAGGGCTGGGGGTGGTGTGCTCGAGTAGGACCATGTGAGGATTTGAGTCCAAACCCCAGACCCCCCTACCAAAAAAAGTCCAAACCTGTTACTCTGGTCCCAACCTATGTTTCTAAGCTCACTTTCTTGCTACTAAGCTAGGCATACTCCTTGCTTCCTCCAAGGAGGCCTGCTATTTTCCCTCCTCCATGGCTTTGTCCTTATGGTACCCTCCATCTGAAAGAGCCTTTCCAGTACAAAGGCCAGTTGTCTTCCCTTCTGTGCCTGCCTACTCTGAAGCCACCCTCTACTGTGGAGTACGTTGATTTTCTCTCTCTTATGGTGCTTACTGCATATCATCTCATATCCTGGTGAGTCGCCCCGAATGCTACAACTTGGAACTCAAAGAAGAGGTGTCTTCCTGCACATTTAAGGTCTCCAGAATCACTGTGGGAGCCATCAGTGTCTCTAGAATAGAGTGACAACTACCTAGCAAGCTTACTGTTGCTGCTTATCCTTCACCCGTGGCAGACATCGTTAAATCAATCATTGCTACTCGTTCACACAGTGCACAGATAGAATCCTTCTGTTAGTGTACCCTGCAGCCTTTCTCACTGTATCATGAAATAACAATTCCCAAGTCTTTTTTTTTTTTTTTTTTTTTTGGTGGTGGTACTGGAATTTGAATTCAGGAATCCACACTTGCTAGGCACGTGCTGTACCATTAGAGCCACTCCACCAGCCCTTTTTGTTTTGGGTATTTTTCAAGATAAGGTCTTGCAACCTATCTGAGTTGGCTTTGAACCTCAATCCTCCTGATTTCTGCCTCCTGAGTAGTTAGGATTACAAGTGTCAGTCACTGGCACCTGGCTCCCAAATCTTTTCATCAAGGGTATTCAAAAAGAATTTCTGGGTACTAAATTTCATTTAAATTCTGTATTGCATCACCAGGCACTGGTGGCTCATGAGACTCCATCTCGAAAAGCCTGTCACAAAAATAGGGCTGGTGGAGTGGCTCAAGGTGAAGGCCTTGAGTTCAAGCCCCAGTACCTCAAAAAACAAAATCTGTACCACTTTTTATAAAAATCAAGATGTGACTGGGGTCTACTGCCCAATGGTAGAGTGTTTCCTTAACGTGTGAGATCCTGGGTTTGATCCCTAGTGCCACAAGTTTAATAAGAACTTGAAGCCACAACTGTTTTACCCTTTCTAAATTATCTTCTAGCCCCTATTGTACACACTTAGATTTTAAGCATAACTGTAATCAGTGTGTAAATGCAACTTCTGTTCTTCTCTTATCACATAGGCACAATGCGTATGGCACATGTGAATGCATTTAGATAGGCCACCTGCGTATCACTTGGTTATGTGGCGCTCTATCATCTCGGCAGCTAAGATTACTTGGCCCTATTCATTGGGGTGCTTTCCAGTTTCCCTCAGCTATCCATAGCTCAGCCTTACTAACTAAATTTCATCCCAGGGGCAGAGGAGTGAGCTGCCCACGACCAGAGGCATCTGAGTCAAGACCAAAGGGGCACTTTTGAGGAGCACGGGTAGAGGTGGCTCTTACTGTGAGTGTGAGATTGGGACAAAGAGCCGAGTTTCCCTGAGCGTTCTAACCCCTGAGCTTGTCACATCAGTGCTGGGACAAGGACTCCATAATCCTTCTTGTCGGCAACTGCCTGCATGAATTTCAGTAGTTTCAACTATTCTCTTGGATTTTAACTTTTTTCCTTAAAATATGGTGTGTTTCATACTTACATCATTACCTGCACCAAACCCACTGCAGACATATTGGGCCTGAGATTTGTTTTCTGTTTTGTTTTTTTCAAGTCCAAGGGTTTGGGAGTGGGGTTTGAACTGAGAGCTTCGCACTTGCAAAGCAGGTGCTCTAACTCTGAGCCACACCTCCAGTACATTTTGATCTGTATTTTGATCAGTTTATTTTGGAGATGGGGATCTCAAGAACTATTTGTTCAGGCTGGCCTAAAGCCACTATCCTCCTGATTTCAGCCTTCCAAGTAGCTAGGATTACAGGCGTGCATCACTGCCATCGGCAGGTTTATGCTTTTTTATTTTCACATAATTCTAGTCTTGCAGAAAACTTGCAAACACAGTATAGAACTCTCACACAGCTTTCATCCAGCATCCCCTGACATTGTCATCTCACATAATAGCCACACTACCATGATCAAGCCAGGAAATTAACCCAGCTATTACACTATTAAGTAACCTTCAGTCTTTATGTAAATTTCACCAGGAGTCCCACCACTACTCTTTTCCTGGTCCACTGTACAATCTAGATTCCCACATTGCATTTACTTTTCATTTCAATCTCCTCTGGTCTCTGACAATTCCTCAGTTTGTCTTTGTCTATTATGACTTTGCAGATTTTCCCTTTTTTTGAGGCAGGGTCTCCACACTAGCCTGGAACTGGCTGTATAGCCCAGGCTGGCCTCAAACTCAAGATCCTCCTGCCTCAGGCTCCCAAGTGCTTGGATTACAGCTGTGCACCAAAACATCCTGTTGGACTTAAGGTTTTAAAATAGGCTCTTACTCTCCAGCCAAAAATCGCTTCATGGAGGGTGTGCCAGACAGGTGCTTCGTATCTGTTTAATCATGCAGCCCTCACAACAATCCCACAGATAAGTCGCCTTATCCCCTTCTCCAGAGGAGTGCATTTTATTCGCCTATACCACAGACATCTGGAGACAAATCTTTATAAATCAAAGGATAATCCCCTCTGGTGGTCTCTTGATTAATGTACCCTTGCTCAAAGACTATTGCTTGCTAGTCTAGTTTTGGTGGAAAAGGAAACTCCCTAGGTGGATGGAGGGGCATGATACAGAACAGGCCTGCTGTAGGAAGGGGAGGGAGAGGGTGGAGCCTCTGGATTAAGTAGAGTCTGGGATGAACACTGCTAGAACCCTTTCTTTCTCAGTCCTGTTTTGCCACTCCCCACCCCTTTAGCTAGTTGTTGTAGTTCTTCCCTTCCTCCTCCTCCTCCTCTTCTCCTTTCTCCTCCTCCATCTTTTGAGATAGTGTCTCTCCGTGTAGCCCACACTGCCTTCAAACTTTCCATCCTTCTGCCTCAGCCTCCAGAGTACTGGGATTATAGGCATGCACCACTGAGCCTGGCTAAAGCTGGCTTTCTCTGTGTAATTGACCAACAGCTGAGCTGCATATTTCCAGGGAAAGAGTGGGACCAAAATTCCTAGGAAAGTTCTCTGCTTGGCCCATGCTAGGTTAGACACCCACTCCTGGGCCCATCAACTGTGACCAGAGGAAGGATCTTGTCAAGATATTTGGAAGAGTGTGGACAACAGCCTGGTGCCAGTGACTCACGCCTGTAATCCTAGTTACTCAGGAGGCAGAGATCAGGAGGATTGCAGTTCAAAGCCAGCCCAGGCAAATAGTTTGCAACACTCTGTCTCGAAAAACACTTCACAAAAAGGGCTGGTGGAGTGGCTCAAGGTGGAGGTCCTGAGTTCAAGCCCCAGTACTGCCAAAAAAAAGAATTTACAGTTCATGTTTTACCATGTTCTTTGCTTATTCCATCTAGTTGTTTGACTCTTAAGTTAAATAGTTAACTCATTCACAGTTAAAACCACCTAGTAGCTTACTTCCTACTGTTTGGTTCTGGTTTTTTGACAGCATCTCCTGTTTCAGGCCAACCTCGAACTCCCCATCCTTCTGCCTCATCTTCCTAGGTGGTGGGATTACAAAAGTACACCACCATCCCTGCCTTCTTGGTCTTAAATTAGTTATAATGCTCTCAACTCGCTAAATATAATTAGCCTCATCGTTCAGATCTTGTCAAAATCTTCAGGAAACTAGTACCAATCTAGATAGCTAACTTCAAGACCACTGGTAGCCCAGGAGTTTTAAGATACATTTTACTATGCATGGTTAGGTACTAGAAAACCACTCCAGGGCTGGTAGACTGGCTCAAGCAATAATGGCGCCTGCTTTGCAAGCATGAGGGCCTGAGTTCAAACCCAGTACTGAAAAAAAAAAGAAAGAAAGAAAGAAAGAGAGAAAAGAAACCACTCCAGAAGACCTAGTACTCCTTCTGGAAAAATGGAAGTTTTATTATCCTTCAGGGCTTAGCCATTTCAAAAAGAAGGAAGAGGCTCTGTGATTTTTTTGTCAACAGGAGCAGACCAAAGAGGCAAACTTGGCGTCTGGTAAGCCTACCTCTACTCGCTGCTGAGTGTTCTACTCAGCACCACAAGATAAGAATTGAGCTTATGCAGTGTCTAAGTTGTGCATTGATATTGCTCCAATTTGGGTACACAAAAAATAGATTATAACTCTAGACATTATATGATTAATGAATGCTTTAAAAAGTTACATTTTGCTAAGACGTTTGCAAAAGGTATACACAGAAAGAATGATAACTCTCAAACAGGGTGGGGCATGACATGTGGGTGTTTGCCATGCAAACTTTATTTTGCTGTTCTGCAAGTGCAGCATAAATAACAAAGGTGATTTCAGGAACAAGCTTAGAACAACGAGAATATATTTCATATCAGGCAATAACAATAGGTTTAGCAAAATAATTTAATAACCTAAAGTGCCTTAAACTACTTCCTTAGGGTTCTCTAGGGAACAAAAGTAAATGCAAAGGGCAGGCCCATCTTAAGTATTGATCTTACAGCACGTCAACACTCTTCAGTAAGCAATTGTGGGATTCTGATGGTTAGTTTTCAGAGCTAGAGTTCCCTTTATTTTTCCTCCCAGGCAAAGGGAAGCTGGATTTGCTCTGGGGCTGGGATAGTTTACTAGCTAATAAAGTGAAAGGTTCGATCAGAGTTTTCCGGTCTGTGACAGTCACCTCCCACAGTCTCACTTTCTCGCTTTTCGCCCATTGCTGTGCCACTTCAGCATCCACTTGTCTCTGCTCGGAAAGGTCGATTTTGTTTCCTAATACAACAATTGCCACCTGCAAGAAAGTGGATTAAAGTTGACACTGGAACTCTGCCATCATCAGTTTCCAGGCAAAAATGGGTACATAAGGAAATCCATTCCATATACAAGCTACTTCACTGAAGTGATCCTCAGTGTGACAGCAGTATTTGTCACCTCACTCATCTCCCTGATTGCATTTGTGTTGGAAATACAGATGCACTATGGATTGCTGTCTGCAAAAAAAAAATGTTTTACATTAACAACACAAGTTCCTCAGCTCAAGTATGAATGGAAAACAGACTTGGAAACTGTATCTAGGAGGATGGTGTAAGATGATGGTTTCAGTGTGTCTGCATTTCATTTTGGCTACACTTGTTATTGGGGAGGTTTGCAATACAGTGATTCACTTCATTCCCAATCCCTGAAAAGTGCTTGCTAATGTGGTGTTAAAATGGGCCAATGTGAGTCCTTCACACCAAATACAAGTCAGTCATCGTAAATGTGCATTTTACCATTCACCACTCAATACCTGAGGTGACCAGAACACAGCAGTTACCACAGTGTTGAAGCCCAGGGGAAAGGAGAGGATGGTGCCCAGGCTTGTCCAAGAAGGCACTTCTGAGCCATGGTGGAGTTCTCTGGGAAGGCCATGCCTTCCTGGCAGGGTAAAGGTGCAGGACCAGGGCTCTGGGTGCTCCTCCACTGTACAGTAGGACCCATGTCCCCTACTGCCCTCCTCTCGTTCATCACCTTGATTTTCAGCTTCATGTTATCCTCCGGTGTGACTGCTGCTTCCATCTCCTGCCTGATGGCATAAACTCTTTTTGCCCTCTAGAATTTGGCAACCATCCCTCTGGCTTTAAATGGTCCCTTCATCTTCTTGCCAGACTGAAACCTGACTAGCCTACAGTCTAGCTTTCTCTACCATGCCTCTCCTACCACAACCACTGGGCCCTGAGAAGGGCTAGGGTGGATAAGTGTGTCTTTGTCCCTCAAATGCTGCTCTAAGTGTGTCCTTAAAGACCCCTGAAGAAGATGGTGGCACTAGTTTAAAGTATCTACTGATTCCACACACCTCTTCCCCCACACACTTAACACTGCTCATGAAAGACCTGCCTTATGGCACTACCGTGGTCATAGTTCCTAATGATTTCACTAACTAGGTGCTTCCAGTAACCTGGCCTCTCAGTTTTCCCAATGATACGACCTTCTCCTAACTTCACCATTCACTCCACAGGCGAATCCTACGCCCTGACATCGTAACTGCTCCCCTCTGCAGTAATTCCTGGCAATCCCGCTCTGGCCCACCTCTCCCATCACACCTGACACCCTAAGTTTAACAATTCTGTACACTACAAGGACATACAATCTACTGTGCTACTCCCTTTATCACTGCCCTCTACCTCACTCAAGTCCCCAGTTCCTGCTCATCCGGCCCAGGCTCTTGTCATTTACCCTTAGCCCTGGTTATCCCATCAGTTTCACCAGACACAACCTCCCTGTTAAGTTTAACTGTTACCCAGACTCTGTCCTATGCCACTTAGTTCATGTGGCTGGAGAAAAATATACAACCCTGCTGGCCGCTCCAATTCATAACCACCAACCTCAAGCTGGTGTTCTCCAGCAAACATGCCACATTTCACATCTACCCTAACTGGAGAGAACAGTCCTTGACCCTCTTCTCCAAGCTTCAACATCTCTTCTTCCTTCCCTACCTTCCTTTCAGCTGATGACTCTGCTGTTTCATAGTAAGAAAAGAAGCAATGGAAGACAACTTCTCATGTTTCCACCATACAGAACAACCTGCCATCTTCCCAGCCCATCCAACTGATTCTGGAACACATCCATCTTCTTTCACCTGGAAAAGGATGTCACTCCAGCAGTTACTCCTCCTCATCACCTGTTCTCCCCTCTGTATTAGTCATCCTGTTACCATACAACACGGTGTTACCTCTCATGTAAACACACCCTCTCTTTACACCTCATCCTTCTCCAGCTCCATCTCTTCTCCTTATAGCAAAACTGTTTCACAGCGCTGACTTTCTTCTGTGTTCCAATTCTCTCCTGTGCACTCCGCTCAGACTTCATCTCACAATTTCACTAAAACTGTTTTGTCTAGAACCATCTATTAAAGACTAACCAATTCTCAATCATTAGCCTTTCTGTCCTAACTGCAGAACTTGGCACAGTTTGATCACTCCTGGCTTTAAAAGCTTAGGTCTCCTCCTGGGAACTGGCCACCTGCTTCTCACCTGTTCCTCAAATGTCTACTCCAACACAAGAGCCAAAATGATACTTTAAGTTGAGGCTGGACATGGTGGTGCTTGCCTGTAATCCAGCTACACAGGAGGTGTAGGCAGCAGGATCACAGTCCAAGGCCAGCCCAGGCCAAAGGCATGTGATCTTATCTGAAAAATAACTAAAGCAAAGAGGGTGGAGGAGTGTCTCAGGTGGTAGAGCACCTGCCTAAATAAGCTCAAAGCCCTGAGTTCAACCCCCAGCAATGCCAAAAATTAAAAGTAAAAGCAGCTGAAAGTTGTTTAACTTCATTTGTACTAATGAAACTCCATTTTCATAAAATGTACAAGTTTAACCATACACTTGTCAAGAGTAGAGAAAAAGGCATTTCAATGAATCTTATGGAAGGTAATTTGCAATGAATCTACCCTATGACTCCATAACCCCATTTATGCTGATTGATTTTGCAACTATATTGTGTGCAAAATATTAAATGTTCAAGATTACTCACTGTAACCTAATTCATAATAGCAATGACTGGAAACAACCCATGTACCTGCCAATCTGGAACTGGTTAAGTATGATACATTTATGTCCACACAGTGGACATTATTTAAAAAGAAAGGAAATGTGGGTATGGTACTGATACAGGAAGAACTACAAGGTGTGTTAGATGAAAAATACAAGGTAAAGAACAGTATGCTACCTTGGTTAAACAAAAACAAAAAAGAAAAAAAAGAGGGGTGGGGTAATTTTAAAAATCCCTGTATCCCTACTAGCTTGTATTTACATAAAGAAATTTAGAAAGGTACCTACAAACTCATAAAGGGATAAAAGTACTTTAAAAAGGCTTGCCTGAGGTACGTGAATCATGTTTCCTAGTGTGTGGCAGGATGTGTGGTGATTAACCCTAGGGATCCTGCAGAGACCAGGCATGTGCTCTAAACTCCTCTAGGTTTAGGGGTAGAAGCACACACTTGGTAAGACTTCAGATCTAGGTGTAGGATCTTGTCGGTTAAGAACTTTACAGCAGTCTTCTTTACATATCATTTTTATTTTGAGCCATGCACAAACACTACTTATTTAATTTCTTTTTCTTTTTCTTTTTTTGGCTTAGGGATTGAACTCAGGGACTTGAGCATCCTGGGTGGGTACCAGGTACGCTACCAGTTGAGCCATTCTACCAGGGCGTTTGTGTTTGTGAACTATGAGAGAGGGTCTTGCTTTATTCTGCAGGCCACCCTGGACCACCATCCTCCTGTTTGTGCTTCCCAACTTAGCTGGGTGTTGACAGGCTGTAGCCACCACAACCCAGCCATTGGTTGAGGTGGGGCTCTCACAAACTTTTTGCCCAGGCTGGCTTTGAACCACAATCCCACCAATCTCCACTTCCCAAGTAACCTTGACTATAGGCTTGAGCCACTGCACTAACCCTGCTTATTCAATGTTTTTAGATATGAAAATTAATAAATGAAACCTAAACCCAAAACCAATGGCTGTGATCTCACTACAAGTGAAAGGCAAAGTGCTGCCCTCAGGTCCTATGACTCGCTTTCCTAACCTGCTCTCTGGCCTCATCACTGCTTCCTGAATGCCGCCTCAGACCCTCGCACTAGCTATTCCCTCCACAGGGAGCGTGCTACTTCCCTGCTCACTTCCATCAAGTCTGCTGAACATCACCGCATCAGGGAAGCCTTCCCACTGTGCTCCAAGAGGACGCCAGCCCTCACTATATTCTCTCTTTACTTTTCTACAGTTTCACTCTTCGTGCGTACTTGTTTTGCGGCTCCCCTTCCTTCCCCCATAACGGAAGCTTTTATGGGAACAGGGCCTCTGTTCTTTTCTCCATTGTATTCTCTGACCCATGCCTGGCACACAGCAGTTGCTCAATAAGCAATTTTTTAAAACTGGGCTGCCTCTTAGGCCCATACCAACCATCTGAGAGACTACTATTATCCTCATTTTACAGATGAGGAAACTGAGGCAACAAAGCTGAGCAACAAAGCCAAGGTTTAAGAAGCAAGTATATCAGTGTTTGCTGAACTATTCTTTCAGCTTTTGAGGGACACGAAGGAGAATCTGGAGGAGACTCAAAAACATAATTGGGCTGGTGATAGGCTCAAGTGGTAGAGCACCTGCCTAGCAAGCATGAGGCCCTGAGTTCAAACCCCAGTACCATCATACACACAAAAAGGTCAGGCACCAATGGCTTATGCTTATAATTGCAGCTGCTTGCAGGCTGAGATTGGGAGGATTGCAGTTTGAGGCCAGCCTGGGATGGGGGAGGGCGTTTGTTCACAAGACCCCATCTCAACCAATAGCTGGGTGCAGCAGTCCACGCTTATCATCCCAACCTATGCAGGAGGCTGAAATTGGGAGGATCACGATTCCAGGTCAGCTTGGGCAAAAAACATTTGGAGAACCCTTTCAACTGAATAAAACTGAGTGTGGTGGCACAAGCCTGTCATCCCAGCTTCAGCAGGAAGCAGGTTCCAGGCTGACCCTGAGCAAAAGGACCCTGTCTCCAAAATAACCAAAGAAAAATTGCTGGAGACATACTTCAAGTGGTAGAATGCCTGTGTAGCAAACATGAAGCTCTGAATTCAAATCCCAGTACACACACACACACACAAAAGAGTTATAGCAGGTAAGCGTGGTAGCATATGCCTGGATCCTAACACTTGGAAGGTAGGGGCGGGAGGATCATGAGTTCAAGGCCAGCCTGGCCTACCAAGTGAGACCCTGGCCGGTCTCCAGGTACACTGAGATGTAAGTGATAGGATTGGCATGGGGCCAGTCTGGGCAAAAACGCAAGACCCTCTCTGAAAAAGAACTAAAGCAACAAGGGCTGGAAATGTGGCTCAAGTGTCTGCCTAGCAAGTGTGAAGCCCTGAGTTCAATCTCTAATAACTCCAATAATAAAATTAGACAAATAAATAAACAAACCACCAACTGGACGAAGGTATGGAAAAGCTGCATGTGAGTGTACAATTTCAAAGTAAAATATTAGGATAAAAATAAATGAAATTTAAAAGTCTAGGGTAAAAAGAGCTACCTGAGCTCTTGGCCAGTGCACGAAATGGCTCCCTGAAGGATGAGTCAGCCATGGGAAGCTCTGGGTAAGGTCTAGATAAGAGAGTTCCAGGCAGGGCATTTAGGGGGACAAAGTCGGCTGCAGGAGAAACAAAGTGGACCAGTGCAGTGAGAATGAGGACAAGGACAAGCCACGTAAGCCTTCACAGACCATGGTAAGGCAGATCTTATTTTTAGGTGGTAAATAGGTAGAAACTAATAATTACTTACTAGCTTGCTTTTGTCTGGTAAGGCTGGAGATAAAACAAGGAGGCTGTAAGAGGCCAGAGGACACGGTGATCCCAGACAACACAAAATGAACTATGTGGTACTCGAGATATGAAGTCATTAAAATCCAACTTGTACATAGAAAAACAAACCAGAGGCAGAAAGTCAGTGCTGGACCTGAATGAATTCAGTTCATCCTGTCTTTCTCAGGCTAAGAAAAACATGATGGTTACAGATATTGAGAATAATAATTTAATGATTTTTAAATGTGTAAACTACCCAAAAATCCACACTATAATCTAAATAGTATTGTAATCCACACTTAGTATTTTTAACACGTGCACTTACCTCTTTTTTGTCTTTGAACTTATCTATTTCTTTCTTCAGAAGTTCTACTCTCTGGAAGGATTCAAGGTTATTCACACTGTACACAAGAACAAAGCCATCGGCGAACGAGAAGTAATGCTTCGGCAGCTCCACGCCTTCCTGCAGGCCTCGTGTGTCATACAGGTGTAACTGCTCCTTCACTCCCCGGTCTGTCTCCACGGACGCCATATACACATCTTCCATTGTTTCACTATCTTCCATGCCTGGGATTAAAAAGAAATTACTCTCTTTGGATAAGCCAATGTCAACTGTTCACTATTTTCTTGTCCTTTAGAGATTGGATTTCTTATTTTTCACATATAATAATCACATTTCTACTTTACTACTTCTCGAAAATGAAAAGCAGTTGTTCATAGTAAATTAACAAAGTGCTATTTAAAAATATTTCTTTTGGGGTTAGGAATGTAGCTAAGTGATGCAGCCCTGGGTTCTCAAAATAAAAAAGAGTTCTCCATGAACCTAAAAGTAGTACTAACATTTGGGCAATGAGCTGGCCACCAGTGGCCCACCCCTGCAATCCTAGCTACTTGGGAGGCTGAGACTGGAGACTTGCGGTTCAAGGCCAGCCCAGCCTGGGCAAATAGTTCATGAGACCCTATCTTCAAAACAAGCAGAGCAAAATGGATTGGAGGCATGACTCAGGTACAGCCTGCTTTGCAAGCACGAAGCCCTGAGTTCAAACCCCATTCCCACCACAAAAACAAAACAAAACAAACCACTGGCAATGACATTTACCTTTACATATTTTTTTCAGGTCAAGAATCAAGGAACTTGGGTGGGGAGAAGGAAGGTGGAGGGGGATGGTGCCACAAACAATGTATACACACAAAAGTAAGTGTAAAAATGATAAAATAAAAGAAAAAATACAAACAAAATCATTAAATTCATCAAATTCATCAATTTAATAAAAAAGAATCAAGGAACTTAATTCCTAAATTGGACAGTTAAAGACTGATTTAAAAAGTAGCTTAGGGCTGGGGGGTAGGGCTCAAGGGGTAGAGCACCTGCCTAGCAAACTGGAGGCTCTGAGTTCAACTACCAATGCCACCAAAAAAAAAAAAAAAAAAAAGTAGCTCCAATAATTAAGTGGCCTCTTTTCTTTTCCATCACAGCCAAGAACAGGATCTGGGAAATTTTTCTGTTTTTTGCAGAACTCCAGGGTCTCTTTAAGAGACTCAAAACTGCACGTGTCCAGGGTCAAGCAGAAAATCAGGCCTTTGATTCCCAAGTACCCACTGGGCAATCCCATGTGAAGTTTCCACAGGCACCTCAACCTACTCATACTCTCTTCCCTCCCCACACCTGTTCCTCCTCCTTGGTTTCTTCCCTGCATCACCATCTACTGGTCAGTTTTCAGAGTTCTTTTTGAGCAATGACCAAAAAAGTGTGAAAGTTACTACAAGGCAGCCAAGTCTACAATTTAAACATCTGCCTGATCACTGCCTCCTCCAGTGCCTCTAGCTGGTTATCTTCCCCTGAACTTTGGCAGCATAGAAAATACCTGGTAAAAGCCTCTTACCCTTTGAAGATGCTGCTGAAAGGGCAATTCTGGAGACCTTCTCATAAGAACCCCCTTCCCACTCTGCTCTTATTGGTCCCTGTACAGGAAACAGCATTTTATACTTTAACCTTTTCCATTTCTGTCCCTTGCAACTGGAGTATTAACACCTCGAGAGCCCAGATTGCATTCTATCTTTGTAGTTCTGAGAACAACTGACTTCAATTAAACAGAAGGGCCTTAGTAAATGTTGCTGAAGGAATGATCTCATAACTGATGTCCCAATTTCAGTTCCCTTCTTGCCTGGGACCTTTTAAAAACTTATTTCACCACTTCGTTCCCTTCATACACGGTTTGTCCCTTCAACTACACGTAAGTGGCTTAAGTGAAAGGAACCATTTTTGTTTGTTTTGTGTCTGTTTTTTAAGACAGGGTTGTGCTATGAAACCCAGGCTGGCCTCAAAGTCTCAATCCTTCTGCCTCAGCTTCCTGAATGCTAGATTACAGGCATGCCCACATTGAAAAGAATCATTCTGTGCACACAGCAAATACTCAATAATTCTACATTGATCAAGGAATTAAGAGGAGAAAATTAACACTTTTTTCAGTACTGGGGTTTTAATTCAGGGCCTCAAGCTTGCTAGGCCCCAGGCCAACACTGTGTTTTAATCAGTAGAGCAGAAGCATATGGTATGGTCCCAGTAACCATGTTCTTATTTATATTTTGTATTTTAAGGGCTGGGGGAGTGGCTCAAGTGGTAAAGTGCTTGCCTAGCATGCACAAAGCCCTGAGTTCAATCCCCAATACGGAAAGAAAATTTTTATATTTTAAAAGAGCTACGTTCAGAGGTAAAATTATATGAATTAAAACCTATACACACACCCAAATTATATTATGTTACACTTTTTTGAATATTCTGGTTATAGTTTTCCTAAACAATGTAAATACTGCAGAATGATTTATTGTAGATACCTTACATGAATTGTCCATAAGTACTAAGTAAAGCCTCTTAGGTATTAGTTTAAAATGAATAATTACATAATGATATATAGGTTGGATCATGAGAAAGCAAACATTTACTCTCATCAGCATAAATATTTACATTAAGGAATGTGTTTAGTGTTTAGGACAGAAAATGATTGATTACATGTAAGTGGCTCTGTGTCATCTTGTTATAAATTAAGCCTTTAAAAAATTAAAGGTTATTCTAGTAAGATACACACTTACTGGGCTTTGATTACAAAGAAAGTTTTCCTCTCTCCTGCTTTTTCTCCTCTTCCACCTCACTTTTGTCTACCATCTTCAGTTCAACATGACCGATAAAAGCCCTCTACCACTTTCCAGAATTTAGATACTACAGGAAAATAATCTTACCGATAGTATGATTTCCATAGAGAAGTTGCTCCAAAATTGCAGTTTTCCCCACAGATAACAGTCCACAAACCACAACCTTGCAGCCTTTTCCCATCTTCTCTCAGGATGTCACTGTGAAGAGAGTGAAAGGGCTTCCATAGAAAGTAAGGCCTCTCCTTACAAACTCCATTCCACAGCCTCCCATTTGCTCTGCTGACCATCGGTGTTATGACTTTCTTTCATACCCTCACAGAGATAATGTAGATACACTGCTGTAAGAACACACCAGTGGGTATGTACCTGTGACTATTTTGAAAAGAATATGTTTTATACAAATATATCAGTACTAATTAAGGCTACAGGAATGCAACAGAATCTTAAGATTCCATGAAAAAGACTGCCTTTTCCAGTATTTACCTGGAAAAATAAACATTTAAGTAAATATTTAAGAAGGCATGAAGACAAAACTTTTGGGGAAAGAGTGGATCTGATTTTTTTTTTTTCAAGAAGCATTAATGCTTCTATTACTGCTGTCAATCTTTTCCCAGTACAAAGATTGGATTTTGGTAGTCGCATGAGCTCTTAGTCATCTTTTGGAGGAAGACTAGATAATGTTAGAAAAATTGCCTGGGCATTTTACTCTAGAAAAAGGGAAATTCATCCCTCCTTACTTCCTGTTATACCCATGGAGGAGCAAGGTCAGGTGACATTTTCTTCAAGACATCTGTTTTCCAGAAGGCAAGGTGCCAGGAGCCAAAGTAGAAAGGAAAATGGCTCACTCCATACAACAGAATAATCTGACTTTTAGAATTCAGATTTCCTCAATGCTTTTTGCTTTCTTCCCTCACCTCCATCTTCCCCCCAACTCTCCTCTTACCTACAAATGTACATGCCGTACTTTGGCTAAAGGGGCATTACAACTTCCTGCAGTCAGAGACAACTACAACAAAAGGGATTCTGGGTAGCTTTCTGTGCTCTCAGGCTCACTGGGCCGTCAAAACTAAAAACCCAATGCAGAACACATCTTAACAGGGACTGAACGGTAGCTACCTTTGTATACATGTTTGTTGCACAGCTTATGATTTTTACCAACTGTGAAAACATGAAGCAACATCTGAACATTCCTTAAGTCTTTTCTACTTTATTCCCTCAAAGTCTATAATTTCTTGTGACCCAAACCACCCACAACTGCTCAGCTGATAAACAAAATTCAATGCTACTACCATTATTGCAGCACAGTAACACAGTGCTCATTTCTGAAGCAGTGCACTGTGTTTTGCCAGTACACAAACAAGCATCACGTCTGTGACGCAACCATCATTTCCTGGGTGGCAAATCCAGGAAATAATCTTTTTCTCTATCTTCCAAGAATATTTACCACTTGCTTCCATGAGCTCCAGTTCTCTTAGGGGGCTTTTTCTTTAGATTTTCAATAGAACTACAATAGGAAAATGCTCAGGCTTTCTTTATAAGGGTGGTGCTTTGTGAAGCATTGGTCATATATGATATGGTATCACCTATGTCTGCAGCTATGGCCTATTTCAAAGGGTTTTCTACACATACCTCTGAACTGATGATTAATTTAATGTTACCTCATTTATCATAGGATTCTGTCCTTTTCGAATACTGTGGATTTTCTAATAATTATGATACCACTGAACCTTTCCTTCAAACATTTTAATGATAATAGCTGAAACTTAAAGGAGGTTCCTAGGTATATGAAAAGACTTGAAAAGAGAAAGAAATCCTTGGGTGGGGATGTAGCTCGGTGGTAGAGTGTTTGCCTAGCATGCACAAGGCCCTGGGTTCAATACCTTGCACCATGATACACAACAAATAAGTAATCTTTTTAAAGAAATTACTTTTTTAAAAAGAAAAGCTTCTTAAAAAGCTGAAGTGCCTTAAAATGGCAGACATGTAGAATAGCTAAGAGAAGCAGGCAGCTAGCTATAATGAAAAACACCCAAGCCCTCTGTAAAAAGGAGGCAAAACTGAGTGCTAGCACTGCATCCAACTGGAAAAATGCTGAAGCCAACAGAATCTTGAGCAATGCCAAAATCAAATACTGTATTCCAAAGAATCTTTGGAAAAGGTCTTAAAATAGCTGCTCTAAAAGAGGTGTACTGCCAAGCACTGGTGGTTCATGCCTAACTTCTTGGGAGGGTGAAAACAGAAAGATCAGGATTCAAGGCCAGCCTGGGCAAGGAGTTGGCGAGACCCCATCTTAACCAATAGCTGGACACAGTGGCATGTGCAAGGCACCCCACGTTTCTATGGAAGCTGAGATCAGGAGGATTGCAGTTGCAGGCAAGTCCTGGGAAAAAAGTTGTGAGACCCCATCTCAATAGGAAAAAAAAAAAGCTGGGTGTAGTGGTGCACCTCTGTCATCTTAGTGATGGAGGGAAGTTTAAAATAGGAAGTACACAGTCCAAGCCAGTGCAGACCAAAAACAAACAAACAAACAAAACACAAGACCCTATCGCCAAAATAACCAGAACAAAAAGGACTGAAGGCCTCGCTCAAACCCCAGTACCAAAAAAAAAAAAAAAAGTAGTATACTATTAATTGTATTTTAATTTTGCTTTCTGATTTGGGACAAGGTCTCACTATGCAGCCAAAGCTGGTCTCAAATTTGATCCTCTTGTCTCACCCTCCTTACAGATGAGCACCACCACCCTGGCTCCTGTAATTGTACTTTGATCACTCACTGATACTAGAATTAGAAGATAAATTTCTTTAAAATATGTATTACTTAGCTGGGAGTGTACTCTTAGTTACTTGGAAGGTGGAGACCAGGAGGATCGTGTTTTAAGGCCAGCACAGGCAAAAAGTTACTGAGATCCCATCATAATAAAATGTGGTTGGCATGTGATCCCAGCGACACAGGAGTAAGTAGGAGGATCACAGATCACAGTCCAAGGCTGGCCCCTGGCAGAGATGCTAGACCCCGTTTGAAAAGTAACAACAAAAAGGCAAATATACTTTCACATTTATGTGTGTATAAACAAATAAGTTGGTGATTCACTTTGCTGTTACCAGAGAAGACTTCATTAAGAGCAACTAGTAAACGTAACTGAAGAGAGGCAGCTCAAAGCACCAGCTAAGAGATGAGCAAGGCGGTGCACCAGTAGTCCCAGCTACATGGGAGAATGAGGCAGCAGGATCACTTGAACACACATGTTCACGCATTCATGCATTGGATGGGGGGCAGGACCTGGTTCTTACCTTTTTTCCCTTACCTCTGGAGATAAAGAGATGAGGTTAAGGTCAGCCTGGTGAAATATGAGCCTGTTACCCCACCCATTTACCCTCCTCAACCAGAGCTTGCTAATAACCCCTCCTACACACACATACACTATATTGCTGATCAGTGTCACCTTCCTTTGTTGGAAATTAAGGGTACTAAACCATCATTTTTTGCTTTCCCTCTTCCTCCTCTTCCTCTTCATTCCTTTGCTTCTCATCTTCCATCTCCTCCCCCTCCTTTTCTCATTCTTCTCTGCCCCAGACCATGTTACCAGGTTTCTGTGGTTTTCTAGAAAGCTTCTAAGGAGGAAAGAAATGAAGTTTAGAGTAACAGACCTCCTACTGAGCTGGTTAGAGCACGTGGGTTTGATTTTCATGTAACTCAAACAGCTATTCCTCTTATACAGTTGAAGGCCAGCCCCCCTTCAAGTACAAGTCCTGGGACATAGGAGTTTGGGTAAAATCACAATCAGCCTAACTCTGCTCTGCCTTCTGAAGCTCTCCTGGAAATAGTTTACAGCGGCATGGTTCTCCCTTAAGGATCCATGACTGCTAAAGTGCATATAGGCATCTAGCATCCTTCAGAAACTTCTAGCCAAAATCAATTAACAGATGAGGAAATGGACACCTAGCTTTGGGATGTGTTTCAGCCCCCCCACCCCAAGTCACACTGATAGTAGACATACAAAACTATCTTCCTGTTCAACACAGAAAGGTCCTCAGGTCAGTGGGGTAGTTGGGGGGGGTTAGTTTGTGAAATAGGTTAGCAGAGTATTTTCCATTGTTAGAGTAGGACCCATTACAAAGAAATCCCCCAGTGCCATCATCACCCTCTTCCCTCTCCAGAGGGATGGACTCTGATTCTGATGACTATAGGGACTAGTTCCAAGCCTGACCTCAGGCCTTATTTCTCTTAGAATCTCAGTGACCCACAAAGTCCGTCAGAAAGAGACCTGCCAGGACTCTCACCCTCCACATTTCCAGGCAAAGGAATACCTTATAGGTCACAGCTGCCCCTCTGGTTCAACCCTCCCCCCAAGAAATAAAATAAACAACAACAGTCTGACTAAACATGGAGAACTATTTATTATTAGAGAAAGTCCAGGGTCCAAAAAAGGAAGGCTAGATCCAGAGAAGAGGCACAGATAGAACCCCTCACGTGCTGAGGGGTCAAGAGGAAGAAGGGACCCAAGTGTCCAGGCAGCAGTTCTAGACGGCAGTGGCAAAGCCAACCCTGTTGTTGCCCACGTCAAAGACGGCATAGTAGGACCTGAGGAAAACATCTCCAAGGATCCAAGTGGGCTGATCATTTAAGAAGAAGTCAATGGATTGGATTCCCACCATGCAGTAGCCATCATCCTGCTCAACACAGAAAGGAAGCACTTATTCTGTTGCTTATACATTAGTTGGACACTGCTCAGTCCTGAGCTCTGGATCAGGGACATAGGTTTGGATATGTGCGAGTCAAGGACTGTGCTTAGAGCTTGTAGGCCAGCTGGTCCACCAAGCAGGGGCTAGTGAGAGGGATTTCCCAAATAGGTGAATTCAGGCTACAACGGCCCCCAGCAGGTCAGCTCTGCACAGGCCTCCTCCTGCTCCTGACGTGCTGCAGGTTAGTCTGGTCCAACTTAGATTTAAACCTTAGCGTATTCCTGATTAGCTGTGTAGCCTTCGGTCAATTTCTCAACCTCTCCAAATTTTCACTTGTAAAACAGAAATGAGCTTTGCCCACACCAAATGCTGTGATAATGCAGTGGGATGGCCACGCGGGGTGCTTTGTACAGTGGTAGCCCAGTGTCTTTCTCTACTAATGGGTGGCACTCTTCTGAGAGGGGAAAATAAAGGGGTGCTGCCATTAGTTGGAGAATGGCACAGAAAAGGAAGCTGAACATTTCTGACTCTGCATCCCTTCCTCCCTCCCACCCATATCCTGGTGGCTCTGCCCACGGAGAGCAGGACTTACACTAATGATGTAGTCAGAGGGCTTCAGAGGGAACCGCACACCATGGATGATGAAGTCGAGTGTGGGCAGGCTGTCGATGCTGTCACAG